ATATAGCATTGTTATAAACTTGTATTGCTAATAGCATATAGCATTGTTATAAACTTGTATTGCTAATAGCATATAGCATTGTTATAAACTTGTACTGCTAATAGCATATAGCATTGTTACAAGCTTGTATTGTTATAGCTTTGTTATAAACTTGTATTTTTAATAGTATTTAGCGTTGTTATAAACTTGTATTGCTAATAGTATGTAGCATTGCTGTAAGTTTGTATTGCTAAACGTATATAGCATTGTTATAAGCTTGTATTGTTATAGCATTGTCATACACTTGTATTGCTAATAGCATATAGAATTGTTATAAACTTGATTTGCTAATAGTATATAGCGTTGTTATATGCTTGTATTGTTATAGCATTGTTATAAACTTGTATTGCTAATAGCATATAGCATTGTTATAAACTTGTATTGCTTATAGCATATAGCATTGTTATAAACTTGTATAGCTTATAGCATTTAGCCTGGTCACTGAGCACATCCTACTGGCTTTCCGAGTTACAACTGGAAAATGTGTGTGTATTATGTCATTCCCAGACCCTACTGTATTTCAGAGGTAAATGTAAATCAGCAGTAGTATGGCAGGCCATTTTTAACATAAAATCAGCTTCATCTAACTATCAGTAATCACAATCTAGATATCTAAAAATGAGTTTTGACTTGGTAAATAAGATAGCACCTTATATAGAACCAGGATGCTCAAGGCAGGATCCTTTGATGTCATTTGATTTTAAACAAACTACTCCTAAACTCCCAACGAGATCTTTTATTTAGTGATTACGAAAGCCTCCATTTTCACACTTACCAGTTTTTTGGTTTCCTTTTCATATCATATAGATGTGGAAATTGTCATCCTGGATTTAACACATGGCAGTACAATAACCTCCACTGAATAACAAACTCAAAGTAGCGGTCAAAAGTTCAGCCATTTCCTTTAATTTGTCTCCCAAATGCACCTGGAGGAGAGGCCGTTTATTGATTGATAGTCCAGTAGTGATAGTTTTTCTTCTGCTCAGTGAAACACAATGGCTTTTTCTACACTGGCTGCCATAAAAATACTTTCACCATGAAGTTCCTGCGCAGGAATTTGCTTTGAGGAAACTGATATATTGTAGTGCTTTGGATAAATAATTGAAGCTGGTACAGTGATGGAGACCTGAACAGGTGAAACCCAAATGAACTTCACACAAATACTCTGACTTTTGACGAAGGTTGCTCGTGACCTGTGGGTTTTGCCGACCTCGTACGATCACACTTTGTCTTTTTAAGTGTTAGGCAGGTCAGTGTGGCTTTAACTCCCCAGCAGATGTCAATAAATGCTTTGTTTGTCAGATGTGCTTTAGCTGTGCATCTTCCATTTCCTCCTTACTGCATTCAGACTGTTAACATTTGCCTCATCTGACATTCAGACAGAAAATCTATGTTTGTAGTGGTTCAGTCCTTTTGGGCTGAGCTGCAGTGAGACAGATGTGTGTGTTGAGGTTGTTCCACAGCCCTGCACTGTGACTTTATGGTGTTATTTCTGTCTGGATCTCTAGCCTCTATGAAACGATGACATCTCACTGAGATGTTCTTGATGATTCTCAACTTCCTGTTGTGACTCACAGAGGCTTGCGATGTTTTTTTCTGTTCCAGTGAGATAGTATCTGAGCAGTGGTGGGAAGTGCTAATTCAAAAATTAGCTCCGCAATTTCTTAAGCGCTCATGAAAATATTTAGGTCCACAACTTTAAAAACACTTATGTCATAGAAAAATTAGCGGAAGCTAATTTTAAAGCACAAGTTCAATTTGACTTTCTCTAGCTGACAATTCATATACAATATGCACAACACTGCCAACTAGCGGTGTATGAACCCTTGTACAGCTTAATCCTACATCCGCTGATTGCTGGGGATCTGATTTCCTGAAACAGACCTTTGGCTCATGGTGTAAAAATTAAAAAGTTGTTCAGCATTGCTAGTTCGACTGCTTCTTTAAAAAGTTGTTGAGGATTGCTAGTTCGGCTGCTTCTTTAAAAAGTTGTTGAGGATTGCTAGTTCGGCTGCTTCTTTGTCTTTTTCTTTTGTTTGTTGTAGATTTTTCATTAAAGAAGCATCAATAAAGTAATTTTAAAACTGTTTATTAGAAAACTGAAGCGATGCATTCTGGGTACAAGACGGACTGACGGGAAACGAAAGCATGGGGAACAGGAAACTAGTATCTTCCCTTCAAAAATAAGAGCTTGGATTTTAAAGTTTTTCATGTTTCGATTGGATTTTAAAGTTTTTCATGTTTCCATTGGATTTTAAAGGTTTCCAGTTCACCTGAAGCTCATCAGACTGAAGAAGTCTCTTTGAGAAGAGACGAAACGTTTCACTACAGAAGAACCATCCAGAGGACCTACTGATTTTTTCTTTTTGATTTTTTTCTACCTGGATTAGGAAGTTTTCCATGTAGTTGCTCCAGTTGACCACTAGATGTCAGTCTTCACCAGCGAAACATCTTTAAATCATTTCTGAGTCTCTAACACCGTTAGCTGATTGCTTTTGAGCTCCAGCGTTTAAACTTTATTTTTTTTTTAATAGAGCTCCGATTGTAAAGTAAAATAAATCAATACATACAAAATTTTAGTATAGATTACAAACGTTTACTGTTTTTGCTGTTGCCTTCCTGCTACGCAAGCAGACACAAAGCATTGTGGGAAATGAGAACCGTGGCTCAAAGCGACAGTCAGCAGGATGTATACCTTCACAATAAGTGTGTTTATCTGGGAGGGGTGCTGTTGGATAGATCACATGTGTTGTGATTCATTGACAGTCATACCTTCTGCTGTTCAACATAATGGTGACTGGTAGATAATTAGTTATTAGTGGTACTGCATTTTAATTTTAGAAAGCGTAAATCCGCTTATGAATTATAAAAATTAGTAAGTCCGCTAAAGCGCAAATGAAATATTTAGGTCCGCAATTAGCAGATTTGCGCTTTAGCAGGCTTGTGCCCACCACTGCATCTGAATATTAATTTTGTTGTCAATAAATGCTTTAATTTGTTTATCTGACGTTTCTTTTCGTGTCCTTCACGTTTATCTCAGTCTTGCAACATGAACTTCCTGTCCTTGCACCAGCTTCGCTGTATTCCTCTCCATGTTGAGGTATGATATCTTACTGATAAACCTCCTCTTCCCCCTGCAGATCACCGCCTCCGGAGGAAGAGCATAGCCACTGGGAAGCAACCCAGCATGGAGGTCCCTCCCACTGCCCCCCTTCAACCCTTCCGACAATCCGTGAGTAACCCTGCCTGTCCTCGGCCTCGCTCGCTGCCTCCGTCCCTCTCGCTGTCCCTTGTCCCCCACCCCGCCCTCGGCCCATCGCACACCTGTGGCAGACGGGTCAGCGGCACCCCGCCTCACCCGTTCCCCCTGTCCCTGGCCGTCCCCCCTCCCCACGCCTTTTGCCCGCAGCAGCAGCAAAAAGGCTCCAAGAAAGGGTCCGGCACGCCCCCGTTGGCCCGCTCTCTTCCTCTCTCCCCCTCCTTGTCCTTCACCCTGCCCCACTCACCCGCCGCCTCCTCCCCCTCCCCCTACTTGTACTGGGGCGGAGACTGGAGGGCTGCCGGTTCGAATCCAGTAGCGGGAGGAATGTTTATTGCACCGCTGCCCCCTGTCGAGGTACGTGACTCAGAGATTCAGGCTGTTTACTGCAGCCACAGATGTTCCAACACTCATGTTCTCGTTGCCAGAAGGAGGTGAACTTGGCTGTCTGTTGCTGTTAAAAACACTTTGGATGATGTTAGGAGAGGTGCCAGGAAGCACCAGGAGCAAACTCTTCTATAAATAGGCATGGAACAAGACTTTTATTTCCTGAGACCAGATGAGATTTAACAATATTTTTTAAGGAGAAAAGCTTTTGCCACAAACTCAAGTGATGGGCCTCCCTCCTGTTTGGGTCTTTCCAGACCTTCAGAAGAGGGTCAGGTCTGCCTGATTACCATCACTGATCCTAAAGGTCTGATCACACAGGAACAACTGAAACAATCATGGTGGAAGTGTTCAGGTCCTGCTAGGGCTGGGCCATATCGCAAAAAAAAAAGATCACCATTAATTTTTTCATATTGTCCTATCTCGATTAATACCGTAGCACAACTTTTTGTTAACCTAAAAAGGGACTGAAATATAATTTAACAAATAAATATCTACAGAAAAAAACAAATAATGGCTTTTATTTCACCTTCACTCATATAACAAATAGCTGTGGTTCAGTAGAACATTTTGTTAGATATTTAAAATGGTTTTTACCAAGAAAAAAAACATTTGTGTGTAAATCATAGAATCACACATTAATAAAGTTATCCTTTTGTAAAATCCAAGTTTTAGAATTGAATTTCACATTAAAAATGTCATAAAGAAACATAAACCTACAAACAGCAACATTTTGTGCACACTTTCCAACTGAATAGGGTCTCAGCTCATTATTTACTTTTGTTATAGAAGGACCCCCCCACCCTTCCTGTTTACAGAGCTTTATCAAACAACAAACAACACTGTTTCATTTTTTCTGAAAGAATATCTGATTCTGCAGACAGGAAAAAATCTTCGATAAACTCGCAGCCTCTGAGTGTTCAGGAGTTTGCAGCGTCTCTCAGCTGCTGTTTGTGATGAGACTCAGACAGGAAGTGGTCTTCATGTCTCATCCTGCCCATCGTGTGCCGATAAAACGTACAGAAAAGTTCTTCTCCAGATAAATGAAGAACCGCTGGGACATTGTTCTGTCCTAAATGTTACCTTTTTTTTTTAAATGTTACTCTAAGACCGCTTCATATATTTGGAGGACTCTCTCTGCGTCAGGAGGGGACGCCTCACGTCTGTTAGCAGGTAACAGCAGGTACAGGAAGCAACAGCGGCCAAAATACCTCAGAAACTTGCCCAAATAAGCAAACTCTGTGAGATTCAGTGTTTTATACTGGATTACATTTTGTTTGGTCAATTCTGCGTTTCTTTAGCATCTTGTTAACAGAAGTGGAGCAGGAGAAGGTGGATTCTGATTGGCTGTTGTCGTCGCGCACATTTCTGTGATCCACCTGAATTATTCCTCGATCAATAATCGCCCAGCCCTCGGTCCTGCTGTTACTGTTCGTTGTACAGAAAATAAAAAATAAAAGCACACAGGTGCTGCTTGGCTAAATCCCATAAAGACGAGAAGATTATCTTTCAGACTCTTTACTCTTTTGAGCAGAAAATTTCACAATATTTTTAAGAGAAGAAGATAAAGAGCAGAAACTCCCATCAGTGCCAAGCACCACTTGGCCGTGTGTTCCAGGTAATTGGATGGTTTTTGTGTGTCAAATTCTGGGCTTAATATGATGTTTATTGAACTTTTCACAGTTTGTAGTTTATCAAGACGAGGTGATTCAGGAAGAAAAGTGTTTTGTACACAAAGCTCTGAGCCAGTATAACAGCTCAACATTATTAAATCAGTAGATTAAACACAGCTTTAATCTTTGTAAAGAACAGAAATATTATAACATATAAAAGCTGATCATATCTCTGCATCCTGGCAGAAATAATGCTTCCAGTTGTTCTGTGAGTGACCGGCCCGTTTAAACATCTTAATGTAAGTGAGTTATGTAAACGACATTTATGTCAGCTGAGATTACATCATAAATGTGTGGGACTGCATGTGCTAATTTGTTTGTTTCAGTACTCATAAATCAGGAAATAAAATATTAGAATTCAAATATGTGCACTATGGAGCAAAGGGAAGCAAACTATTAATTCATTTAATTTTTATCTTAATATGTTTTTCAGAGGTTATAATTTTTATTAGGAAATAACGTCACTAAATGAGTTACTTCATTTAAGATAGCAACAAAACAAATTACATTTTAATTAGACACAAAACTGGTTCAGTTTTATCTGACAAAAACATTTCATTTCCTGTAGGAAGGAGTAAAAACAGCAGCTGATTGGATTGTTGTTTCAGTTTGTAGAACAGGCTGACGTTTGGAAAACGTGACTTTTAGTAAAACACAGAAAACTTGTTGGTTCTTAAATGTCAGCGAAGTAGAAGAGGATTAATAAAATGTGCTACCTCACTTCCATCTGGGATTATTGTCTCTTTTTATAACAGATACAACTTAAAGATGGAGAAAGCAGAAACCACTCTTTGTCTGTGGACAAAAATAATCTGTGTTTTTATGATTCACAGCAGCAGAAACTCTTTAGAGTCATCAAACATGAACATGAGAGGGTTTAAAGCAGGGGTGGGCAACCCTGGTCCTGGGGGGCCGCAGCTCTGCAGGTTTTACTTGTTTCTCTGCTCCAACACACCTGATATGAAAGAGTAGATGATTATCAGGCTTCTGCAGTACGGAGGACCAAAACTGACATAATTAGAAATAAAATCAGGATTATATGAACCACTAAATAAATACACTTAAAATGCACCAATTAAATTAAAAAAGGAGAACTTTATCTCCTGTTTTATATTTTAATTGACTTTCATATTTATTTTTCCAGGTTAGTTCCAATAAATTAGACTAAACATTTGAACACAATTTAAATTTTACTGTTTTTTAAAATATATATTAATTGTTTTTCCTTTTATTTGTACATGCATTTGTGTGTCTTAAATGTTTATACTTAATTATTTTTATAATTTTTCCAGCTGCTGCCTCAGTTTAGCTTAAAGTTTAAAGTTTAGTTTCAAACAAAGGCAAGGAGGAAAACATCACCTGTGTATTTATTTTTAACTAAACTAAACTGCGGCAGCACATGCATGCAACACATAGAAATAAAAAGACTTGTTGGAAAAAATATAAAAACATTCAATTTAAGCATTCAAGAGACACAAATTCTTGTCCAAGAAAAAGGAAAAACTATGAAAAATATATATTAAAAAACATTAAAATTTAAATTGTGTGTTAAATATATAATTTATTGGAACTAAGCTGGACAAATAAAAATGAAGGTGAATTAAAATATAAAACATGAGATAAAGTTTTCCTTTTTAATTTATTTGGTGCATTTTAAATGTATTTATTTATTTAAAGGTTCATTTACATGTTTCTGTTTTTATTTCTAATTATGTCAGTGTCGGTCCTCCGTACTGCAGAACATGAAGAGGTAGCTCAGTGACTGAATCAGGTGTGTTGGAGCAGGAAACATGTAAAACATGTAGGGCTGCGGCCCTCCAGGACCAGGATTGCCCACCCCTGGTTTAAAGGGTCAGTTTGTAGCAGTTTAACATCATTTTTCCTCTTTCTGTTATTTGTCCTGTTTGGTTCTGTTCCAGTCACGGGTCAGAATTTCTTATTTCCTTTTGGAAAAACTGTTTGCTGCTGATTTATTGTTGCAGCAAAAACCAGTTAATTTAATAAAAGAAATACAAAACCTCACTGTTGTTTTAGGAGGTCAAAGAATTTCTGTTACATTAGGTTATTTTTAGCTCACGTGTTTTGTTCCTAATAGATTTCATTTCTTTCTGAAGTAGTTTATTCTTCCTGCTCACACTGGTTTCCATCAATGTTTTTTATGCACATTTTGAAGCATCACATTATAGAGAAGGTGGATGGAAATGGCTAAATTTGCATAAACTTCCTCAATTTTGTAATGTTTTTACGCTCGCTTGAGGTGGTTTTTGGATTTTCCGAAAGAAGAGTTAACGCTCAAAAGTAAAGATAGAAACACATTTGCAGAATAAGAAAATTGGGCCTCATGCAAGAACCTGTTCGTATTCTTATCCTAAATTTCTCTTACTTTTGTTCGTACAAAGAGTTCGTACGAACATGTCACGTCAGATTCAACAAACTCTTCTATCTTCAGGAAAAGTGTGTAAATGAGCTGCGTAAATTCCACCTGTTC